AGTGAGAACCGGTTCGGGGTTTTGCCCAGATATAAACCTCAGAGGATAACCCAACCAGAGGGGCTGGTAGAAGTGTCTAAGCCGTTTGATCACTGTTTTGGGACGAGAATGAGATCGATTTTCCCCGCATCTTGATGAGAGGCTTTTTCTGCCGAGAGCTGCTGGCCTCTGCAACACCAGAGCAGTCAGACCGTCCAGAGCTCTAGGGCCTGAGGAAACTACTTATTGCCCTTAGTCTGATACCTCAGAATATGAATTCTAAAACAAAAATCTCACTGATTTTTAGGTCCGTATTAGAATGTCTTTTGGCTGAAATTTCCACTTAAGTCATAATTTCTCAACGAAGTGCGTTTCCACGCCTCCCAACAGTAATAATAATTAGGCTGGCAGAGGCTGCCTTATTTTCTGGCAAGTAAAATAGGCTCAGATATGGTTGTTCGTGGCGAATACATAAAGTCTAAACAACCGCAAGGAACGGCACAAAGCTGCTACCTACTTACGGGACTATAGCCTTCCCGAAGGCAATAAACTCATTATTTCATAAAGAATCATATTTGAACTTCGCTCCTACTCACTCCTGTGCTTGCAAGTACTGCTCGAGAGGGCACGGTAGTCCAGATGAATTTGGAGATAAATCCCGGGTTCCTAGGCAGGCAGAGATGTAGCCATTTTCCCGAAAGCTTTCCAGGGAGCCCCAAAGGTAACGCTTGGGTGGTGTTTCGGGGGGAGAAGGAAAACCAGCCCAAAGCATTTGTCGCCACTCTTACAGCCCGCATTGCCCAATGCAGACAAAACCCTACCTCGTTCATGGCGGGGTGGCTGCCAGTAGGAAGGCAGGGACGAAGCCTCGCCGGGTGACAGCTCCCCGGGGCCAAGGGATGCACACCTAGCCATCCACAGCCACAGGAACCACTCCTGGGTCCCTCCAAATCTTCGATATGTTCAGCCCCTGTGCTGGGAGTTGACGCATTGCGGACAATGGGGGTCTCTTCATCCAGTGGCATTCCCTAATTAAAAAAACTAGGAGCAACCCCAACGATGCAAGCCAGGAGAAAAGCAAAAACCAGATAAAGTCCCTTTTCTTACCCTCTCCTGAAATACTACTCAGACGCCTACCGTCCTTGAGAAATTGACCCATTGCACTGTTCTTCCCTATCTTAGTCCTCCCCAGTGCAACCCGTCCCTTTATTACATGGGTGATGTGAAATCCGAAGAGGAACCTCGGGTGAGAATATGCGAAAGGCAATATATTATTTATTAAACGCATCTGATCCACGATGATGGCTTATTGTGAAGCTCCTAGTCTAAATCGCCTTCGGAAAGAGAAAAGACAGAGGAGGTAGGATCTAAATTGCGATTTGTTGACAAAGTCTGTGTATTATGTATCTTTATGTATCTTTGTGTGTGCCTGTGTATCTATAGATGCACTCATTTATTTCAGCAGTGCCCGTTGTGTGTAACCGTGTGTGCACACTCGGGCGTACGTGTTTGTGCATCTCATACTGTGCACAGACACATCGGCGGTAGAAAATGGTGCATGATTTCACGTTTGCCCATACTCCAGGTTTCATCCCTTCCTCTGAAGCGGTGGGCGAGGACAGTGGTTCGGGCGTGGGGAGGCACACACGCGTGGCAGAGCTGCAGGCGCGGGGCGCGCCCTGCCTGTGCGGCTCTGCCTGTGCACACCCACCCGAGCTGTCCCCTGGGCACATGTGTGCACAAGCGTGTGCGACACGCCGGCTGGGTGCGCAGGAGATGCACCCGAGTGAGGTGGATGTGCTCCACGCCCTTCGACTGGATTATTTCGGGTGTTTTATCAGGTGCCCCCTGTACCAGCTTTGCGGGTGTATGTGGAGGGATGGAGCAGCGGGCACACGCTTGCTGCGCCCACGCCCGCGTCCCTCCGCAGCATGCAGGCGACGGTTCATCCCTTTATTTACTCAAACATAAACATCTTTGCATTTTCACGGCAGCCTAAACGTGATAAAGCCCTTCGAGGAGGCTCTCCATTCCTCCTCTTTTGATAAGGCTGCAAACGCAACTTGGTTTGTTGGGAATGGCTCTGGATGCCTTTGTGCTTCCTAAAAGAGCATAAATAATTAAAGTTTGGCAGAGAGGAAAAGCTTTCTTGCAGAACTGTAGTGGCAATAAATGAAATGACTCAGAATCTCTTCTCCAGTCGGTTTTTACGAGAGCTGCCAGACAGTGTCTGTTCACGTTCTCCAGATACTAGGGGCGCCATAACAAAGTTAAGGTCAAGTTAGTGTCTTATCTTGGGTGGCACAAAAATACCGCATCTTCTCCAGCCGGACCGGGTATATTTTTAAGCCCAAACGTTACGCAAGTCTCTTTAATTTCCACGGAGAGTATTTGGAAATGTCTCTTGGACCTGAATACTTGGTGATTCCAGGCAACGATTGCAGATGTTACAAGACGCCTAACGGTAAAGTATTCGCCTGACTGTGTACATGATGTGCATTTATGTTTCGATGCTATTTAATCTGCGTAAGGGAAAAAGGAAAAGGAAAGAAAGGGGAGAGCGTGTGTGTGTGGGGGTGTTATTGTAATGTTCAGAGCTGGGCTGGGACGGACCCCAGGGTGAAAACGCTCTGGCAGGCAGGGACCCCCAGCTCTGCCTTATTCCAGCGGGGTCTCTGCTGCGATATTGGTCTCACAGTTTCCAATTTAGATCGTTTCTTAAAGAACTAAGAGGGCTTTCGTACTAACAAATCGTCGCCATGTCTTTGAACTTGAATTAGTTGAAACCGGTTGGCTCCTGCGCCAAAATTTAATCGATGCTAGGCTTGTTGCATCGAAAAGAAGGTGAAAGATTCTGGCTAAGGCGCAATTAGTTGTTTGAACGGTAAAAAAAATGAAGCTCCATAGGTTTCCAGAACCATCTCTCTTGACGAGATAGGCGATCAGAAACCTTGGGGGGGAGCAAAATCCAAACGGAGCCCTGCCCTGCTTTGCTGCAAGGTCCAGGGTAATTAGTGACACAGGAGCCATTTTAACTGCGCAGACATAATTTTTGGGAGGTTGTTTTTTCTGTTGCAGCAGAACCGAGAGGGCTCGAAAGCCTATGAAGGGAGGGAATGGTGGTTCTGTGCTTTGATTTCTAGTGATAACTTGCAACTTGCAAGAGTCTATCTGCTGGGAGCAATGTGTGGCGTTTGAGGTGTTTTGCGAGTGAGGAACCAAAGCAAAAAATAACAAAAAACAAACCAACTGTACAAAGAAAAGAGAAAAGGACAGAAAGAGGCGGCGGTGGGAGGATGTTAGAATGAGCTCCATAATATCTGCCTGGCTTTGGTCTCTGTATTTTTAGAGAGGGCTAGCTGGACTGCGGCATGGAAGCCCCTTGGGTAGTCCTCGACTGCTCTGGGGAGCCAGGGGATGCAGGAGGGGCCGTGCCGGTGGCGGTGGGGCGGGGGGCAGGGTGCGGGGCGCAGCCCGGGCTGCGGGGCTCCCGCCCCCGGATCCTCTCCGCATCGCGTAGCCGGGGGCGAGCAGGAGGCTCCTGTAGCAGCGGAGCCGAGTCCTCAGCGGGCACGGCCGCCTCGAGGAGCTGGGGAGCCCAGGGGCCGTCTCCCCGCTTGCCCAAAGCGCTGTGGGGCCGTTCCCCACCTGCCGGGCTCTCTGCTTGCTATGGGACCTGGAGGCTGCCTTTGTGAAGGTGATATGGGGCCTGTCGATTTGCCGGAGCCTCCTCCCGGGGATTGCTGGGGTGTCCGGAGGCGGCCGTGCTCGGCCTGGGGAGCTCGCCCAGATATCGGGCTTATTTGGAGAGCGACATGTGGTGGAACTAACCTGGCTATGCTGTACAGTGGCGGAAAAAAACCATTCCCATAGAGAGCTGGCAAATGTTTCTGGAATGAGGAATTGGTCGAGTATAGGGCTATTGCTGGCGTGTATTCGTTATTCTCCACTCTTTTCAGCCTTTGCGGCCCTGTTTGTGCTTGCCTGTATAAAATCATATTTCAAGGAAAAAAGGAAAATTGGCAAAACTGAGCCCTCGAAGGCAGGGCGGGAGCGGGGCTGGCGGCTGCTGTGCGTGTCGCCTGCTCTCGAGACTTGCTTTTCCCTTCCAATGAAAATGAACATTTTGGTGGGAGTTGGAGGCAGGGGAACAGAGGTCACTTTGTCTGCTGCTCTGCTTCCCAAGGAAACCGTGCTTGGTGGACTTCTTTTCCTGCCATAGCCCTCTGCTTTAGAGAGAGCCCGAAAGTATCTCCCTTTCGTAAATCCGGCTGCTGAGATATGTTCTGTTTGCGTATTTCTCATTTCAGTTTGGCGCCCTGACACAAGTGCGCAGTGTTTGGGCTTATAAGAGAGGGAAAACGAGGTGATCGAAACTCAGTCTTTGAATTTCGTGACCGGTTTTGATGCCAACTGTGGATTGCAGGAGCCGGGCGGGCAGATCCGGTCGTACACTCCAATGTGTGAATGGGACTTGGCTTTCCTGAGTGAACCATCACCCACCCGCTCATCATCTGCTTGAGCGGCGGCCGGAGAGTATCGCTCCCTCTAAGGAGGAAGCGATCACGTTTCCGAGCCGGGGGTGCCCGTCCGTGAGCCCCCAAGCCTCGCTCCGGGGGCTGCGTTCCCCGCCGGTGGCAGTGCTCCCCCCTCGCTGCCCGGGAGGCCGGGCGGAGATGCGGGCGGGGGGCTGTGCGCCGTGGGGCTCCGCGCCGGGCTCCGGCGGTGGGCAGGCGCCTGCCCGGGCGGCGCGGCCCCAGGTGATCCGCACCACCTACGTGCATCTCACATCGCCTGGTGAAAGGATGAGACTTAAAACCGGCTATATTTGTACAAACGGCGCGCTCGCCTCCCCGTGCTGGGAGGGCTCTTTGGAGAGATCTTAGGAGCCTTTCCGAGGGGCTGATATAGATATAAGGACATTTCTACATCGCGTCACGTGACATAATTACCACTAGAATCAATCAAGATGAATTGCACGTCAGCACACGGTGGGGATTTTTTCTTAGTTGATCCTGTCCAAACCCTCTTGTGCAATAGATGGATCTTGTTCAATGCATTGAAGCCTCCTGGTTGCTTGCAATCGCAAAAAGGAAGACATGACTGAGTTTGACGATTGCAGTCACGGCACATCCAATATGTATCTGCCAGGGTGCGCCTATTACGTCTCACCCTCAGATTTCTCGACGAAACCCTCTTTTTTGTCTCAATCGTCGTCCTGTCAAATGACTTTTCCTTATTCTTCTAATTTACCTCATGTTCAACCTGTGCGCGAAGTAGCATTCAGGGAATACGGATTAGAGCGCAGCAAATGGCAGTATAGGGGCAGTTATGCTCCTTATTACTCAGCTGAAGAGGTGATGCACAGAGACTTTCTGCAGCCTGCGAACAGGAGGACGGAAATGTTGTTCAAAACGGACCCTGTCTGCGGCCACCACGGACCGTCTCCCGCCGCCTCCAACTTCTACAGCTCGGTGGGGAGGAACGGCATCCTGCCGCAAGGCTTCGACCAGTTTTACGAGACAGCCCCCGGACCCCCGTACCAGCAGCACTCCGAGAGCGAGGGGGACGCGGAGAAGGGCGACTTGAAAGCCCAGAACAGCACTTGTAGTAAAACACCTTCCAGCCAGGAGAAGAAAGTGACACCAGCAAACAGCGCTGATTCCCCTTCTGGTGAGGCTGTTGCAGAGAAGAGCAACAGTTCAGGTAGGTATCAGTAGTAAATTGGGGGCAAGAGTACAAGGCCAACACTTTGTCAAGCCGCATTTTATGTGCAATTTTATAAGCATCCAAAGGATTTTATATATCCTATAAGATTTCCTTTACCGTTGTAAAGCGTGTTTACGATAGGAAACCAATTTAGGTGGGCTTAAGGTATTCTTGGAAGAGGATATTAATTGTTATTAAATTGTTGATTCATCGGGGGGAGATGGAGAGATTTCACAGGTAGTGCTCAGAGCTGCCTTCGGTTTAGAACTTAAGATCTTCGTTTGTTTGGGGCGGGGGGTGTGTGTGAGAGGAGTTTGAGAAACTTGGAATTTTTCCAGCCCATTTAAATATCTCTCTGTATTGCTCGAAGAGCTCTCTTTTAAGGAGAAGTTGGGAAATATTAGCTTTTTTTGCTAAGTCACCCGGAGATTATAAGCGTCAGGAATATTTTTTTAAGTGCTAGAGGGCTTCTTTCCAGGCAATGGGATATTATCAAAGTGTCTGATCAAATCCTAGCTGAGCATGTTCGTAGCAACAGCGTAAATCAGTTTCTTCTCTCTTGAATTTCAGCAATTCCCCAGCGATCAAGGAAAAAGAGGTGCCCCTATACCAAATATCAGATAAGAGAACTGGAACGGGAATTTTTCTTCAACGTGTACATAAACAAAGAGAAGAGACTGCAGCTGTCCAGAATGCTCAACCTCACTGACCGGCAAGTTAAAATCTGGTTCCAGAATCGAAGGATGAAGGAAAAGAAACTGAACAGAGATCGACTCCAATATTTCACAGGGAATCCCTTGTTTT